TCTCTTCTCACATCCATTTTTGTCTTCTTTGTCTTTGTGATGACCTTTTGTTTACTTCATGGATGATGTCCTTGATGTCACCCCACAATAATCTTTTTATTTTATACTGGTTTACTTACAAAGCTTGTATACATGTTTTTCACACTTAATCTTTCCCATTTCCTTTACCCACCCTTCCCTCCACCCATCAGATTGTGAGACTCTATGAATACTTACCCCCCCATCTTCCCCTCTATACTCCCCCCTCCCCCCTCTCCCCTTTGGATCCTCATACCCATTTCACTAGTTATCTTTCTATTTCTTCAAAATTGGTCTTATACAGTATTTGCTTTATGAGGACTGAGTTAGTTCGCTAAGCATAATGCTCTCTTGTCCCTCTTAAGTTAGGTAGCAGTTTTCAAAATCATTGCCCCTACATACTTAATGCATCAAATCTTGAGATGGTTTCTAAATTCAATTGGGATAAAAATCAACTTGCAATTCTTATGCATGTGAAAGCTGGACAATGAATAAGGATGACAGAAGAAGAATCAATGCTTTACTATCATTGTATCAGCAAAGACTATTGAATGTACCATGGTCTGCCAAAAGAATAAAAAGCCTGTTTTGTGGGATGTGTAACCAGGATGCACGTTAGAGGAAAGGATAGTAAAACTTCATACCAAGTACTTCGGGCATGTAGTTGGGAGGGGCTAGTCCCTGGAAAAAGACGTCATGCTGGGAAAGGTGGAGGGTCAGAGGATGAGAAGAGGACCTTCAACAAAATGGATCAACACAGTGACTCTACTAATGGGCTTGAGCATGTCAGAGATCATGAAGATAGCTCAGGAAAAGGCAAAGTTTCAATCTGTTATTGATAGGGTTACTATGAGTCATAGAATCAACAGCTCATAATAACAATGACCACTCAGTGAAATGACACAATCCTGATAAATATCTTTTCTGATTTTAAAGCATGCAGCATCCCTTTGGTCTGTTAGAATGGTACAGATTCCACAGAGTACAATTAAGTGTTCTGGAATTTTCCTTCTTTTCAGTGTTATATATTGTTTATTATGACCCACAGAGTTAAACGCCTTCACATAGTCAATAAAATACAAATAGATCTACTTCTGGCATTTCTGCTTTCATCCAAGATCTGTCCCACATCAACAGTGAAGCCCATCATTTCTAAACTTTAAGCCCTTACCTATCTAAAACACTCCTCAAAAGAGTCAAAAGTCAAAGTCATTGTCCAAAAGGTTTGTATGACTGCTGAATGTGAAGAGTGAGTTGGATTCAAGTCCTTGGGGGGCGTGGAACCATTGTCTAACCAAACATCATTATAGTGCCTTCCATTCTCTAGCCATCCTACACAACAGAATTTACTCAATGATCCTGTGTATGGTGAAAAACTATGTGATCTGAAACAATGTAATCTTTTAATCAACCATTTTAGCAGCTATTAAGTGCACAGAACAGTAACAGGATTGTATTCTAAGATCCTATAGGATCCTTGGTCATGTATATTGTCAATTTTTTTTAAAAAAGTATATGTGATTAAAAAAAGCCCAAAGAGTCAAAAGAAAACCTACAGATTAAGGAAAAAATATTTGGCAATGACACATCGGATAAAGGACTACTTTCCAAAATTTACAGAAAGCTCCAACACCTCACCAACAACAGACAAACAATTCAATCACAAAATGGGCAGAGGATATGGACAGAAACTTCATCAAAGAAGACAATCAGTGGCCACAGCACATTGTGACATGCTCAAAATCAGTAGCTATCAGAGAGGTGTAATAAACATAACAATCAGATATCATATCATCCCAGCAGTAATAACAACTTCAGTAAGATAGCAAACAACAAATTCTGGTGAGGGTGTGAGGACACATTGTTTTTGGGAATGTCAAATGATGCAAACAGCATGGAAAGCTGTTTTGAGCTTCCTTTAAATGTTGTAAATATCATTTGATCCAGCAATCCCACTGCTTGATGTATGTCCTAAAGATATAAAGGTTGCCCATGTTCACTGTAGCATTATTTTGCAATAGCAAAAATATGAAAACACCGAAATGCCCATCAACTTATGGGTGAATGAAGAAACTATGGTACATTAACACAATGGAGTAGTTAACTGAACCCCTTGCCATCAAGTTGGGATGGATGCGTAGCTGTCCCTCTATCAGATTTTTAATGGCTATAAATGGCATGTGTGGGGATTACCTTTCTTCTACCAATGGTGCACCACAAAAAAATAGCAAAGAATTAACAAAACACTATCTTAATGCATTTAGAGGACATTACATTAAGCAAAATAAATCTGTCACAAAAGGACTACTATGGTATTTTACTTATTGTTGTTAGGTGCTGTTGAGTTTAGAAGATTCATAGCAACTCTGTCTATGAAGAATTGGTCTGAGTCTTGTCCTATCCTGTACTATACTCATAATCCCTAACACACTTGGGCCCATTGCTACAGTCACTGTATCAATTCATCTTGCTGGGACTCTTCCTCTCCTTCACTGACCTTCTACGTTTCCAAGCATGATGTCCTTCTCCAAGGAGTAGTCTTCCCCAGAAACACATTCGAAGCATGTGAGATGAATCTGTGTCATCTTTGCCTCCAAGAAGCACTCTGGATGTACCATTTCTAAAATATTTCTCTTCTTTTGACAATCCATGGGATAGTCAGTAATTTTCTCCAACACCACACTCAAAGGCTGCTTCTGTTATCCTTATTCACTGTCCAACCCTCAGATGAGATAACCATGGCCTGAATAAGGCACACCTTAGTCTTCAAACTTTCCAATAATTTGGAGAGGTTCCAAAACTTCTTAAAAACTGCAGACTTTTCCAGTTCAGTACATTTCCTCATCTCTTAATTGTGTTGATCCAAGTAAGACAAAGTTGAAGACATTCAACAAAATGAGTTGACATAGTGACTGCATCAATGGGCTCAAATATGTCAGAAATAATGAAAATAGGGTTTAAGCCTCTTTAGGAAAATGTTACCATTTCCCTCTCACAGTTTCTACCAGTATCTTTCAGAAAAGTGATAGCATTTAAATCTTTATAACAAATATTGTGTCTTCTGATGTTTTACATGAAGTCCTAGTGACAGAGTATTGATCAAGAAAATAATGTTATATCCCCATTACTTATTTTGAGGAAATGTTAAAGCACATACTAATTTAGAAAATAACTAAAATATCACCTGAAATGACAACTCGCTGTTTTCTAGAAATCAGGAAAATCAAATTTTCTTCATCTATCTGGGAAGCAAGAGAATCTTCTGAGCTGAAGTATCCAAAAATCTGAAATCCAAAAGATATATAAATATGCATGGTCACATCCTTGGTACGAGCAGTCAGGAAATAAGGAGACATATTGTAATGGGGAAATCTGCAATTAGGGACCATTCCAAATTATTGAGAAGTATTGATGTCATTTTGAGGACTAAGGTGCATCTGATTCAGGCCATTGTCTATCTGATTACTAGTTATGCATCTGAGGCCTGGACAGTGACTAAGGATGATGGGAAAAGAATTAATGCCTTTGAGCTGTGGCGTCGGAGAAGAGCACTGAACATTGCATGGGTGGCAAAGAAAATTAATAGACATGTCTTGAAGAGGGTGCAGCCAAAGTGCTCTTTGGAGGCAAGAATGATGAGGCTCCGCTTCACATAC